GGGCAGGAGGGCGGAACCAGCGCGCGGTGGCAACGTGTTCATGTGCTGCTTCAGCACAACAGAGATGAGTCAGGCGGGGCTGCAGGGCCTGACACAGGGTTTCCTTCCCCAGTTCCCCAGCCATGCCTTCTTGGATGGCGGGGGGTGGGGGGGGAACCACCCCACCTTCAAACCCCCAGGCAACAGGTCAAGCCGGGGACATGCGTGCAATGCGTAAAAATAGGCAGGCGTCTGTGGGCCAGTTTCGGTGGCTTTTTAAAGAAACTGCTAGGGAGCCAGCCCCGTGAGCATGGGTGTTTTAAGTTGCACGTGCATTTGAAACTTACATGGGTTTCTATATACAGATATATAGATATAGATATATACACGCACACACACACACACACACGCAGGCTTTCACAGGGCAGACCGAGGTGCATTAGGAAAAGATCCTTTTCCAAGTGTGTGTTCATTTATTTTTCTCTTCTCTCCCCCCCGCCCCTTTTTTTCCTATTTGCTTGTGGTTTTCAGTGGCAAGAACAGCACGGAAAAGGAAGACTTCCCCAGAGCCGGAAGGAGAGGTCGGGCCCCCGAAGATCAACGGGGAGGCCCAGCCGTGGCTGTCCACGTCCACGGAAGGGCTCAAGATCCCCCTGAATGCGACACCCTCGTTTGTGTCTCCGCCGCCGCCCACAGCCTCGCCCCATTCCAACCGGACCACCACGCCGCCGGAAGCTGCCCAGAACGGCCAGTCCCCCATGGCAGCCCTGATCCTAGTAGCAGACAATGCCGGGGGCAGCCATGCCTCCAAAGATGCCAACCCGGTGCACTCCACCACCCGGAGGAATAGCAGCAGCCCACCCTCTCCGTCCTCTATGAACCAAAGAAGGCTGGGCCCCAGGGAGGTGGGGGGCCAGGGGGCCGGCGGCACCGGAGGACTGGAGCCCGTGCACCCCGCCAGCCTCCCGGACTCCTCCCTGGCGGCCAGCGCCCCCCTGTGCTGCACCCTCTGCCACGAGCGCCTGGAGGACACCCACTTCGTGCAGTGCCCGTCGGTCCCTTCCCACAAGTTCTGCTTCCCTTGCTCCAGACAAAGCATCAAGCAGCAGGGGGCCAGCGGGGAGGTCTACTGCCCCAGCGGGGAGAAGTGCCCCCTGGTGGGCTCCAACGTCCCCTGGGCCTTCATGCAAGGGGAGATCGCCACCATCCTGGCCGGAGACGTGAAAGTGAAAAAAGAGAGGGACTCGTGACTTCCCGGTTTCGGAAAAACCCGATGGCTACCCTTAACGAAAACTGCTTGAACTGTATATATATAATCTCCACATATATATATTATATATATATATATATCCAAGACAAGGGAAATGTAGACTTCATAAACATGGCTGTATAATTTTGATGATTTTTTTTGAATACATTGTGTTTCTATATATATATTTTTTTTGACGACAAAAGGTATGTACTTATCAAGGCATTTTTCTTCTTTTGTTAACGTTATTAGCCTATCTCTGTGCGTCATTATCTTGGTGACAGTGACCGGTTCCATGTAGGCTGTGACTTGCGCTGCTTTTATAGAGCACTTGGCAACCCCTCCCCCCCCAAACTGCTTCTAGCTGTATTTGTAAATGCACTTACTTTAAAAAGAAGAAAAAAAAAAAGCCAAATACATTTTCTGACGTTGTAAGCTTGCCTTACTGTCCGTTATTCCTTGTGGCTGGCTCCTGTCGCAGGTGGAGAAGGAAAGGAAGTGAGTTGGCAGGGGCACCCTTGTGCAGTGGGCACACCACTGGGCAACCTCACCAAGTTGACCCCTCCCCAAAACACTGTCCCCTGAAAGGAACCAGGAAAATAGATTTTTGAGTCCGTCTTTGTTTTGTTTTCCAAGTTCAGTTGTTGGGACATTGAGGACTGCCTGGGAGTCGCTGCTGAGAGAATTTGGGGGGACGGTGTGGTTTCGAGGGAGACTTTTTCTTGATTTTTTAAGGCAAAGTTGACCACTGCTCACTGCCCACGCCAATCAGTTGTAAGATCCTCATGCTGCATGCTAGTCGGTTACATAAGACACAGTCGGGTGACGGAGGGTGGTGACGGGGTGCAGATGGCACTGCCGCCTTTGACCGGGGCCTGGTTCTGCCCCGAGCTCTGTTGTTGCCAGCGCCTTGGCCTTTGGAAAGAGTTGCAATAGGAATCCCAGTCCCCGTGAACTTGGAGATGGTGGGGTTGCTTTCGTTTCTGTTTCGTGTCGTGTTTTGTTTTTATCGTTGACCTGTAGCGCTGTGGCTGTTGCTAGCGTCACCGACACCCTGTCTCTTGCAAGTGCTGAGTGCAGTCATGGTACAATGACAGCCGCTGCACCAGGGTGCCTGTTGCCAGGACTGCCAGGGGCCATGTCAGTGACAGCCCAGCTCGGGGGCGGGGGGGGGGAGGACACTCATTTCCTCTTACCTGTGGAGTGAATAATAACAGTTCTTTGGGGAGGGAAGAAAAAAAAAAGATAAACTAGTGAAAATTAAAAGGTTTTTACCTAACAGGCCCCATCTCTCCCAACTCTTTTCAGAAGCCTTTTGTAAACTAATTTCTTTTGATGACTATTTTGCATCAGTGAAATGATTTTTTTAAAAAACCAATAAGTCATCAGCTGTAGCAGACACAGTTGTCTCGGAGCGATGCTGGTTTTTCTTTAGTGCTGTTCTCACATCCACCGGAGCACGATTCTAAGTCCTTTGATGTCCAGGTGTGTGTAACTTGGCCCGAATACCAGGCCGAATCATCGTTTTTCAAGGTCTGTTGCAACGTAACGTGGTGTACCGTTCACAACCCAGCTTTCGTTTGCATTTTGAAAACTGATTGTGACCCGCTTTGGGTTATTTTTTAGTTCTGTGTTCTGTCTTTCTGAAAAGTGCTCAAAAAAGATTTTCCTTAATGGTCGGGTGATTAACACTTGAAAATCAGATACTGCGCCAAATACAGTCTTTTTCGTAGTGTTTTTAATGAGTGCACTTATTAATGCTGTGCAAATTCATGTTCCTAGTCATTGTTATATGGCCGACAGACTTGCATGATTAACCAGTTTCTTTTTTTTTTTTTTTAATTGGAGTAGCTATGACTCAGATCCAACTGGTTTCTCTTATGTAATGTACACAGGCAGGCAAGTCTGTTTTCCATGCCCATAAGAGACGTGTGTAAAGAATTCAACCATTATGGTCTGTTGTATCCATGTGTACCTAGGCACTTGATTCTAAACTGGAATTTGACCTCGTAGATGTTACACGTGGATCCGTCATTTGACCTAATTGGTGGGAGCTTATCTGTATGTTTTGCAATCTTCGCAACAGATAGCTTTTCCAAAAAGAATGATCTAGAACCCTCCTGCTGTTCTGTATACATCTATCCAGCTGTGGGAAAAGACTGCCTCTAGTTTTTCTCTGCTGATGGTGACGTGGGGAAGGACGCAAACAGCTTTACAGGGCTGTGTGTGAAGGTGACTCCTGTTAAAAAAAAATAAGATTTGCATGCCTCTGCCTGGCCCCTGGGTGGCCTCGATGGAAGGAAAACTGGCAGCTGGAAAGTGTTGATCGGGGAGGGTGATTTTTCTGGCCTTCTGTGAAAAAGTTGACATGGAGACAGGGGTTTGATCTGTTGTTGTACCTGATGACAGTATGGTTTTCCACAGCTGGATAAAAACGCCTGAAAGCTGCTTACTGTACATGGGCAGTATCAGATTTCAGATCCTAACGTTTCAGCTGTACTTTTAATACTCAGAATATTACGGGATGGGCGTCCTGGCTTCCTCCCCCCCCCCCCCCTTTTTTTTTTTTTGCTTTCCCGACTTACAGGATTTCACACATGGACTCTTTCATGTGGCCTCACGTTAAAAGTTATGGGAACGAACACGTGGTTTACAACTTTTACTATATACCCTTTCCTTGGCCACCAAGTATTTTAAAAAGTGTGCCACCTTTTAACCTTAACGTTTTTGTTTTTTTTAAGTGGAAGGTGATAACTTTTTCTATAGATGATGCAACTTATGTCACCCCGAAGTGAGTGTAATCTCAGCTATGAACATGATTATATTTTCAACAATCACGCTGTGGAAATATCACCTGCATTCTGTCGTGTGTCAAATTTACAGTACTTTTTTTTTCTCTCTCTCTCTCTCTCTCTTTAAACGTTTAGCATTAAATAAAAATAAACTTGGGAGCACTGAACATTTTCCGAGGCCTTTTTTTAAGTTTTTTTTAAAAGTAAGGTTAGAAACGGCTGTTGGTTTCATCACGCCTGGCAGTAGGGCTCAAGGGTGTGTGGGTTAGGGGTCGGGGTTTGGCTGGAACTGAGGGTAGGGGAAAAAAAAAGAGGGGGATGGGGGGGGCCAGGGACTGGGGAAAGGGCCACTGGATAGAGGACCCAGAGCCAGAAAGCACTTGTTTATGGTTGAGCTTGCAGCAAGCCAGCGGGGCTGCAAGAGCAGGTTGGAAGGGGAAGGCAGTGACGACATCGCACACACTGTCAGGACATGGAGCTGCTCGCTCTCTGGAAAGCTCTAGAGGGAAAGCTGCCCTGTGGGGCCAGGTGAAATGCACTTGAAGGCCAAAGAGAAAGGGAAAAAAAGCCTACCTTTTGGAAAGTTCTGGAATAGAGCGTCAGGGCCAAAGTCAGGCAGGAGGTTCGTGGATATTGTGAACCTGGGATTTATAGAGATGAAAGGAGATGCCTTTACAAACGACTACACTTCCTGTCACACAGGACATGTCTAGGTGTCCGCAGCTTTTACCTGGTCGATCAATGGCTTGGCCGACGTCTGCAGGAAAGGAAGTTGTGAAACTTCTAAAGGAGTTAGATAGAGGACAGGGTGGGCACACACAGACTTGGCATTCAATAAAAATAAAATTGGGAGCACTGGACATTTTCCGAGGCCTTTAAAAAAAAAAAGTATATGTTTTTAAATTAAACAGCAACAGATCATGGGTCCTGGGATATATTTTCATTAGGGATGGTCCAATAACTTGCAAGGCTCATCATTATATTTTAATCATCTATTGAGGAGCCTGTTGAAGGCAGTTTTCCAGAAACAGTGTTCTTAAACAGTAAATTATAGATCGGGCCACGCAAGTTTCGTTTCATGATTAAGTGAAATGTTAAACTTTCTTAAAAAAACGCGAGGGCTCATTTTGACGGAAACTTACAATAGTGCAGGTTGCAGAAGTCACTTTTAAATTTCAAAAGCTCCTTTCAAAGGGACACGTTGATGATCGCATTTCAGTTTCCAGTTTTGAGAAACACAAAACAAACCAGGCTCTTGATGTGGCAGATGTCTTTGTTTATACCCCAAAGCTGGCTCAGAGATGGGCAGGGGGGGCGGGTAGTTAAAGGGAAAATGTGGAACGGCTTTTTTTAAGTCCCTGGCTCCCCCAAGCCGCGTTGCCTCTGATGGATAGATGGTTTTCTTTGGTGGGTGAAGAGTGAAACGTTTCTCTTCCTGATTCCAAAGTGTAGACGCGGGATCATTCAGAAAAAACGCTGGGTGGCTTGCAGGCCACGAGAAGGCCTGAGTCACCCTCCCTCACTTGCCTTTTCTTACGGGAACAGTGAGAAGAAGACACGCCTTCCCGATGTCACAGCCCAAGGTCACAGTCACCAGTGAATGGAACACAGTTACCTACTTCCATCTGTCCGTCCGTCCGTCCGCTGAGGTTTTAGAAATGAGGGGCTGGGGGGGTGCTATTTAACTCCTTCAGCGCCACTGGCCAGGCCTCCGGCAGCTCTAGCAGTGATGATGATGACATGTGATGACAGACAAGTAGAAATCGTGGGCGTGGCCGCCCGGGTTTTCAACTATTTTGCTGTTTTCTGTGGACAGCCTGCATTTTCCTCCAAGGCGGTGAGTCATCGCCTCACAGCAATTTAAAAGGCGCAAGAAAATAACAGTCGATTTGGAAATTACTTAAAGGGATTGGAAGATGGGAAATGACCAGATTTATGGATTACCTATGGATTTCTCTATTAAACCCCAGACAAATCCATAATTAGGGATATCCACACCGTCCCTCTTTCCCATTCACAAATTTCATTTGTACCTAGTTTAACAGTGAGCTTCGTGTTAACCCATCGACCTGTTAACTCTCCTTCTCCGTGACAATACAGCTTAACGCGATTGGAAACAGCTTTCCTCGGTGAACTTGAGGTCTAACTTTTTTTTTTTTTAGCTATAGAATATGAAGTCTACACCTGCTTTTATGATTTAATATTGTGTGCTGCCTTTTGGCACTGAGCCGCATAAAACAGTCTGTTGGAGCCACCGAAAGTTATGTTAGGAAAAAGCATACACTGTAGGCAAATCACTCTTTAGAATAATTTAGACATTGGACCATAAAACTGTTCTTTTATTTGGGATCTGAGGAACAGATTGGGAATTGAGTGAAATCTCCTTAATAGAATAACCCTATTACAATGGTATAAATGGTTTCTTCCATAATATAATCTTTTTTAAAATATGTGTTGATTGATTTCAGAGAGGAAGAGGAAGAGAAATATATATATATGAATATGAATATGTACATACATATATATAAATACATATCTATGTATATGTATACATATA